TGACCATACCCATAGCCAGCATTAATATCACAGCGCAAAGAGCAAAAAAGGGATTTCCCCTTTCTCTCCATTCTACCCCTATAATACTTTTCTTTCAAAAAAACCATATCTTCATTCGATTCTCATTCAACTCCGTTTATAATGACCCAACCCACACCTTCACCTCTCCGTCAAGACGCCTATTTAATGTGTTTTGCTTGCCTTAGTCTGCGTCTGCGTCGTTTCTATAAATACGAAAAGAACCCCCCATTCCAATTTTCTTGGTAGCGGTGCCTCATCCGTTGTCATCTCAAAACCCTGGAGGTGGAAAGATCAAACCCCCTTTTTGGCTTGCCAGTTCGGTTCTTCTTTCTTGCGTTCCATCCGCTGTTCATTTGCAAAACGTTTCGTTTCAGCCCCGTTTATCGTTTAATAATTCGGCCCCTTTCGATCCTCCTCCATTTTGCTTTTAATTCTTCTTTTTGTTTATTTTTGGATCATAGACTCGGTGGATTGTCGCCACTCAAGGAGGATGGGGTCGCTTTTTCATTTTTGCTTTCGAGTTTATATGCTAGGGTGATGTAGATAGACGAAGAAGACGAAGATGAAGACAAGAAGAGAAGAGGCTCGTTAGAGACACGGAGAGAATATAATAAGAAGAATATATCGTGAAGATTCTCATCTAGATCTGAACACGCTGACTAAGTCCCCTTGGTATTAGTATTAGTGACTGGTCTTGTCTAAACGTCTCTAAAGATAGAACGAACTATGGTATCCCGAAAATACGAAACGACTCAATTCTTCGCTTCCTCCTCATCAAGAATCCCCTCCCACTCAACCCTCAAAGCCTCCAACTCCCTCCAGCACTCCCTCCCCATCTCCTCAAACTCCACCTTCTTCTCATCATTAACATCCTCCTGACCCCTCCTCCTCCTCCTCAACCTATCCTCCTCAACCGCAAACCCACCAACAACCCCACCATGCCCCCACCCATCAACCTCCGTGCTCGCAGCAAAATCCCTCCCTGACCGATCACACCCAGACCCCCACTTCACCTTCCCACCGCCGAGACGCGAGTACGCGGATTCAGCGGTGTCCAGGGCGGATTGTGTGGCGAGGGATAGCCAGACGGGGGCGCGGGCGCCGACGTAGGGTGATACGCCGTGCCAGGGGGAGCCGAGCATTCGGGCTAGCCAGAAGGCAGCGAGCATGCAGTATTGGAGGGGAAGTATGAGTGGGACGATGGATGTGCCGCAGATCCCTGGGTGAGCTACGTACATGTTTGGTTTGGAAGGAGGGTCTGAGGAGGTGTCGGTGGAGGGGTTGGAGAGGAAGTTGTTGACCCATGGGGCTGTACTGGGGAGGTTAGATGTTAGTGCTAGGAGGTCGGTGAGGCGTTTAGAGGACTCGTAGGCTGTTGGGGAGCGTATTCCTTGGATATCGGAGATGTCGAAGTTCTCTGCCAACCCTTCCAGACTCGATATCCAGATGATGCGACCTGAGCTCTCGGCGCGGGAGAGCAATGGGACTAGCCCGTGGGCGAGCATGTAATGGCCGAATACATTCGCGCAGAATATTTCTCCCAGCGGTCTCTCTTTAGGCGATGATGTCTGTTTCTTCCCCATAACCCCTATATCGGAGAGCTTATATGACGGCCATGTCGAAGCATGTACGAGGTCGGTGAGAATAGTATAGACCGCCTTAGGCCAATTGAGCCCTGTAAATCCCCCGATCCCGGCATTCAGCACCAGAGAATCGATTTTTGGCGTTGATGTGAGGAGTTTCCGTGATAGAGCCCGTACGGAGAGTAAATTCGTAAGGTCGACATTCTCGGGTTGGAGTGTGATTCGGGACTCGCTCTCCGATCGACCACCAGCCGATCGCCGGAGGTGGTCTTTCAGGCGGCGCGATGTCTCATCGCCCTTTCTTGTGCTTCTCGTCGTAAATATAATAGTCAATGACCGGTTCTCCGGCCGTGTGGAGAGGAATTCGTCAATCAGTCGGCAGCAGATGGAGAAGCCTAAACCACTAACTTTCAACGTGAGCTTCCGCAAAAAGCATTGCGATATTGGGTTACATACCTATTAGCGCCTGTCACTAAGACAAAGGTCTTCTCTTGCAGTCCATCGTTGCCGCCCATTATGATCGCTTCTCCGTTAAACAAATGAATAAAACCCCGGAAGCTTCACCAAAAATGTCGATGAGCATGTTTGATAGGTTTGCACTCTCCCCCTGAGTTCCAAGATTATAACCCCTATCACATGACCTCCTAGGTATCGACGAGACCTCATCTCAGCTCTCTATCGAGAGAACGACAACCTACGCTGGTAACCGGAGCCCTTCCCGTTGACGCGCCCGCGATATCCTCTCTCCATTAGTTGGAGTCGCCTCGAAGAACCAAAAGGGGCTCATCCAAGAGGCCGAATTCATCCTATCAATACGAACCAAACAATAGATTCTGCGTTCGATTAAACAATCCGCAGATTCGAACTACATAGGAAAAGCTTACCATCCAAATTGTGACCAAACTTCGCGGGGGAGTTCCTACTAATATGTCGGACAAAAAAGGTCTTCATTTCCGGTGGCGGTTTGCTACTTGTCGCCCAAAACGGAAGACAGCCGCAAGAACGCCTTGACTTGTTTTCTTTGTCCTATTTATCTCGACCCTGTGCACCTCTTTCTCATTTGAAAGCCGCAAGGAGATGGCTTCTATCTCCAACTTCCTTAGGCCCTACCCTGTTCATGCCCGTTTTTCTGATTTTCTATCGTTGCCGTGTCTTTTAAGGTCTCCCTAAGAGCCGCCAGTATGGCGCCCCTTCTATCGGCCTTACTTGCTTTATTCGTGTTCTCAGGTGCTATAGTAGCAAAACCGGAGTCTAGTGTACCCAATTGCTACGTAAGTCCCTCCTGGGCGCCCTTCGTGGTGTATGTAGCGCAAGAACTAAATACTCTCAGAGGAAATGCTTGCGGAGCACGATAGATGTCCGAGATGATTGCGATATTCTTGACACATATTGTGTTTGCACACGCAATTGGTTAACGAAAGCTGTAATTTGCTGCATCGATCAAGAGTGTGCGTCTGAAGATTGGGAGAGTGGGTGCACACTTCAACAACAGCGTTTATTTTCAAGATTTGATAACAAGCTAACCCTTCCCAGCTGTAAACCAGTTTGTAATGGCTGCCTGCAAGGACATAACCAAAAATTTAGCAGGGCCGGAACTCTCCTGCCGCTCAGACTGGAAGACGGAACAGGGCACTGCGCTGGTAACCTTTGCGGCCGACACGATCAAGACTACGCGTTCAAATATGAATACTTTGACTTCGACTTCGAATTCGACTCCCACCTCTGCATCTACTACTGCCATAGCGCCTACTATAGCTGGTACAGCATCTCCTCTTACCAAATTTAATGGCCTTTCGGCAGAGGTTGCCCCATTCAACGGAGTCAGTATGTTTACGGGATCATGCACATCCCCAAAGCTAGCATCCGCCAGCGGTTCCGCCTCTGCAGACGCAAATATAACAGCCTACCCTTGGATGGGATGCAGCCAGGAGGACCACAAATGTTGCGCATATGCTGGTGAGGAGCCGATGCTTCTTACAGTCTGCCCCCACGACTATACTACTACTTCGAGTGCATGCTGTCCTTCGTCAGTATCCTAAACCCTTATTCCCGAACTTGGCCATTCTCGTGGGGTTACTAATATCTGGACAGAAAGTGGCAGATATACACCACAGACTTTGGCGGACAAACCCCATGCTACACGTCCCTGGAAACAGGCTATACTCCAATACCAAGCCTTCCAGGCAACATGTCATTCATAAGCGATCTCACATTCACAATGAAATACGACCTCACTACCAAAGAGTCATCAAGACTAGGCAACGGTGCCATGGCCGGGATAATAATCGGTTCCATCGTTGGTGGAGTCTGCTTCATGGGCGCTTTAGGACATCTTATTATGCGACGAAGGCGTGGTTTTAAATCCCCACCCACAGTCCTATCTCCCAGTCCAAGGCCTACTTCTGTACGCCCAGACAGCCATGCCCCTCCTTTAGAGCTCCCTGGAAGTACCTTCATTCACGAGAATCATCCGGCCTTTAACCCGTCCCGACTTGAACGTGGGCCTGGGTCTGGACTGTGAGTGCGGATCAGTATCATGACTTGAATGATCGCCAATGCTATATAAATAGTAACCCATATCTGAATCATATACATACGAATTAATTTGAGATACTGGCTGTTTCCATACCCCCTTTTCTTCTACGCTAAAATTCCAAAAAACAGATCATTTAGTATTAACTACATGACTCGCCCTCAAATCCAGAAACTCGCTTCCGTATGACAGTGAATGAACTGCCTATTATTCACTGCAATATCACGCGCTAGCAGCTCTCTAAACAACCCCACCCCCCCTTCTTCTCCTTTTCTTTTCTTCATTTTTTCCTTTCTCTCAAACCTGATCAGAAGCTCGTCTTTCGAGCTCGTCTTACCGTGTTGTATCGACTTTTTGGTAGAAGCTTTTGACTACTGACCATTACCATTGTTAGACTTTCGGGAGATCTTAACTCGATTGCCTACTCAAGCGGTAGACTACGGACCTTTACGGTCTTCTAACTTGCTCTAATAATAGCTTCAAAGAGCTCTCAGATACGTGCAGCATGGAATCAAGGGAGCTCATGCACTGTTTTCCCGTCCCAGGGAAACAATAATTGTGTACAACGCGGTACAGTTCTACTAAGAGGCGATGCTGTTATAGTACACGCAAAGGATAAATACCATCGAAGAAGGGAAAATAAAAAAGAAGGGGGAAAAGGGGGGTGTCGTGCCTTTTATATCAAATTTATTCGTTCCTTCCTGTACGATACCAAACGATGAAATTTCCATGTTTTGATACCTATTCTTTCACCACTCAACAACCAAGTGATAGAAATGCCAAAAATTATCGGAGCAACTCCAACAAGCCGACAACGGACTTTTACAAACGATATAAAAAAAAAGATGAAATAAAGAACGGCATGCGCCAGCCGGGAGTCGAACCCAGGTCTGATGCTCACATGAAATGGAAGGCAACAATGATAACCGCTACACTACTGGCGCTGTGTGTGATACTTTTTCGACGGAAAATGCGTGTTGAGGGGTTGAGGGTGCCCCCACTCAATTTTCCGGCTGCGCCAAGATTCTGTCCCAATCTTTCGATCAGTTCCGAGAAGTGTCTACATTATTCGGAGACTCGGAAACAGACCAAACAAAGGGTTCTCAGTAAAGGCTTTGGAAGCCTATCACTTGGCAAGGTGCGCGATTCTAGTGCCCATATGGACATACCATAGGCAAGCAGTCGCCAACCGCCAGAAAAATCAAACCTGAATTCAGAACCTCGCGCTCCAGTTTCGAATAACAACACACAGGAGAAATCACGCCGCCCATGGATACGTTTCAAAGGACGACTCCTTGGTGGTATTAGGGGCGCAAGCGATAGCTGATACATATCTCCGATGTCCATCAATCAGTCCCCACCCGAACGAGTCCAACATTTCACGCACGCCGTCCATCAAAAGTCCAGAACAAGCCGCGTACTCCGTAACAGAGCCATATTCGCTCCCGATCTCGATTCAAGCCCACGGCTCATCAGGCGTTATGAGTGTCCTCTCCAGGTTCATTGCCGGTATATCCGGCCAAACCCATCGTATAGGGGTCAACATCAAGTAATCGAGATCAAATCCTCTCATCCCCCAAGGACCCCCCATACCCAAGGAGTGAACCAGGACAAGAAGCCATCATCATATTCAACTCAAGTGGCAAGCACTAAAACGAAAAGAGGAAATGAAGAAGAACGTTGAAGAAAGAGAAAGGGTTCGAAGAGAAGTCGATCTTATCAATCTATCTTCTACATGAAACAGCCAAACCCGCATGGATAACTGAGACAGGACCTTCAGTTATAATGACGAACAGGTAGGTAGTTTTGAAAAAAAAACTACGTAGGGAATAGGAATAAGAAAAGACCTGGTCTGGGAGATCATATCATAGACAAGGGAAGACGGGTGTTTGTTCACTTCTGAAACAAGCCCTAGATATATCCTTCTAGAATAAAATAGGGAAACCTGGTATATATAAAAACTTTCGCAAACGCCAACAGTGATGCCCCTTTTTTTGCTTGACATAGACCTGGACAACCTGAAGCACCCATTCTTTTTATAACTAGGGTAAAGACCCTGATGTCTCGGAGCATCGGGCGAGGGAGTCTTGATACCATTTCCTTCAGCCCAGGTCTGTTTCCTGTTTCATCCCATAGTAGTTCTATAGCCTACGATATATATAAAAAACGCCAGGCTTCCTCTATCGCTAACCCAGTCAACATAACCGCCCAGTAGTAAATCTGATACTCACCGTCTACCGCCATCTCCCTAACCTAGAAACATATAGAATCAACCCCCCCGATACATGGATATAAAACCTTGGAAATCCCCTAGTACAAACTTGAAGATACACTGTATCCGAGAAAACCCTAACTAGGACTCTTAGTCCTGACTCAGATGATAATTTACACCATCCATTCATTCACTACATGCTCTCCTCCAGAGGGACGCAACGCAATTGAGGCTCTTGGTTTGCGCGTCACGCGCATCATATGCCGCCCATCGCTCCCATCTCTGGCGTAGCGAAAATATACTTTTATGAATACGAGTCTCACGAGATATCAGTTGGGTGAGATTTTGATGACTTGGTAGAGTGTGATAGGGCCAGCGGGTGAAAAAGTATATATATATAACCCTCAACTTCGTGCCCGTGATCAAAACACAATGCGGTGAGATAGTAGTTCGTTGACGACGGTGAGCGAAGGTGAGCGCTTGATAGGATAGTTAGGAGGAAAGTTATCCCCAACAAGACAAGAAAAGGGGACGACGATCTGATAAGTCAGTACAGTGGCCAGCATACATCCCATCCATCCTTCTCTACCGGTTCTAGAATCCGACGCGGCCCCAGTGGCTGGCTCATGGACATGCCCCCCGGATTGGACGCCTAGGGCCTGGGGTGGATGGATGGATGACCCTTTCCTGAAGATATCAGATGCCCCTATCTTACATTTTACACCGCGGTAGGAGCGGTCTATATGAGACATTCGGAGCAAGCCATGGAGTCGTAAGGTGAGGACTGACCGACACTCATACTCATGCAGAATATCAATTCTTACCTCACCTCCTCTCCGCTCCCCGGAGCTTCAGACTGACCTCCCTACCACCCCCCGGCCCGCCCCGGTACCCGCTACCCCCTATGGTAATGGTAATACGAAAACCTCGATCCGAAAACCCATTACCGCAGGGATGATGATTTTATCAATCAATCGATAGATAACTCGAGTCAGCGCGCAACTATAATATTCGTAAAAAAATAATAATTACCATACCTACCCATCATCTGACCCCTCTCTCCCCTCTTAGATCAATTCAGTTAAAATAGAACCTTGAGAAAAAGAAAAGCAGGGATAAACGCTGTAAAGTAATAGATATATAAAACTCTCCGCTGTTCCCCTCATTTGTTTATTTGCTGGGTACTGGTACTCGGCTTTTGCCAGCGCATTTTTTCGGGGTTCGGGGTCGTTGGGCAGGCAGTGCTTACTGTGTTGGTTCTTTTATAACCTAGTGCTAGGTCTGGTTGTTTTCGGGTCAGACTCTCTAGCCGCCGAAGCTCCTTGCAACGAATAGAGGAGGGGAGGGGTGGAGTTGTGAGCACCAAGAATAGGGTCATTGTCGCCCTGTGTGGAGTTTCGCTCTCGACGACAAGACAGGGGAACTCTTATCATCGTGCCATTTTCGGTCAGATGTCGGAAGAGCGGAGTACCTATAACAATCTACATATTCATCGCAAAGTATAAAATGTAGTAGTACAGTGGAGTGTATATTGGGCTGTGCAAAGAAAAAAAGTATAAAGCGGGTAAGAGTAAGAGTGAGACGACTAGAGACTAGCTCGAAGAAGAACGGAGGAAGGATGAATCGCGGGAAGGGCGGGTAAAAAAGGTTGAAATGAATTATCCTGGGAGCGATTAGCGGTATATGGATGAAGTAATCGACGGACATTAGAACGGTTGCGGATTTTGGCCAATAAGTCGGTCAGCGAAGCCCTGGTACTTATTCGTAGATGTGGTTCCAAATAATATCATTCTTATCAAAGGGTCGCCATCGACAAGGAGCGATTTGTTTGAAACAGTTGCCCAGAAGAAACAAAGCTAGTATCAAAGAACGGGTAGATGAGGGTAGGTAGCGAGCAAATATTCCGTCGGATAGTGGGCTTCGATTCCAGAATGCTGGAACCTTGAAAAGAAAAGAAGTTGAGTAAGAAATAAGAAACTCTGCCCAAGGTCATTGGGTATATTATAGGGTGAGGGTTCTTCGGTTAGATGCGAAGAATCATCCCTATCCTATCATGTAATATCATATCAGATGCGCGAAAATGGTTCGTTCCTTGTATGGGGTTTAAAAAAAATGCCTCGATTCTCGAAAGAATCAAAAACGGTAGGTAAGCAGGGACGATGTATATGTCTTGTACACGTCAACGCACAAATAAGGACATGGCAAAAAGGTGAACAAGGCTCTATCTATATTATTACCCTCAACGGCCGAACGCCTTGGCATGGATTTGACACGACATGATAGTCGCCACGGCCACATCTCAATTGACCGCTCCAATGGACCAAGGGTTCAGCAGCGCCAGGGAAATCGGGTTTAGAACTGCCTAGCCTTAGCCGAGTCTGTGGAGTTGGCCAGAACCGCCCGAGATAAAAAGTTGAGACAGATAGATCTCTTTGGCTCCCGTGGTGGTGGTTTAATACGGATGAATGGGTAATGCATGTCCCATGCCCATGCCCCTGCCCCTGGCTGTCAACTGTGTCAGTGGGACAAAATTAATAAAATTCCGTCTGGGCGAACCAGTCTTAACTTGCGGCTCGGTGTTAGCTGTTGCAGTTGTTGCAAAAGCGCCATCATTCAAACAGTCTCAGTCATCCTCAGCCACAGAACGTGTGAAAGGTCATTCCGATCCACGAAGTAAGACGATGGGAATTTGAGGCAGGCGCGGTTCAAGAGAACAATAACAACCACCACAACACATTCCATCGAAAAATTCCAAATCCCGCCTCGGAGAAACGAGTAATGAAAATAGAGGATTGGTTGGAAAAGAAGAAAGCTCAACTCCAAACCCTGAACCCAACCCCAACCAACCCAACCCAGAGAATAAAATCATAACTTTACCGATACGCAGATTGGATCGATTAAGTTGCCTTCACTTATCCCACAACCACAGACAGGTCACACCCGCATGTACATACATATCCAGACATCCCAGCAACCCCGATCCCAGGTTTTCCACGAGCGACCCTGAGGTCTGGAAAAATAGGACTTTCCCGTGTCTTAGGTAAAGGAAAAAAGAGGCTGCCTACCTTCCTACCTGAAAAGGGTAACTTTACCACCGGAGATATCCTCAAGCGGTTCCAAGCTCCGATAAGCCGTGACTTGAATCATAGAGGCCCAGCATTGGAACACAGCTCTTTATTCAACAATGAAGTAATACCAAGCACCTCTCGTCCGTAGCGGGTAAGCTCAAAATAAAAAGCTCACACAAGAGCAGCCCAGATATCGCGAACCTCAGCCTCATCACCCCACTTCCAAAGTAAACGATCGGGATCGAAGCGCCCCCATCCCTCTCTCCCCCCTCTCTTCCTCGTGGCGCGAGTAATTCCAAATGTCCAACCAAAGAAACAGGAATTTCTCCAACAAGAGAAAAAATAAAAATAAGAATGAATACGAGAAACCAACAGAGAAGAGCTCCGAGGAGGGGAGAAGAAGGCTGAAGCGATGATGATGGTGATGAGAAAGGTGACTGACCCAAAGAACAGGTAAACTACATAAACAGCCAGAACAAAAAAGCGGAGTGCATCGTGGCGCTTCGTATCTGCCGTCGCGAACAACAAGACAAAAAGATGGAAACAGGCCACCCATCCCATCTGGCTGACTGACTGCGGCTTCACTTCAAGCCGCGCTGCCCAGGAAGCTGCCCAGAAGTATCTCAGTCAAAAGAGCACATAGGAAGGCCGAGTCTCTGGCCCC